ATGTCTTCTCCGTCACGTGTTTGTTCGGCAAAGAGGTTGTGTCTACAATATGAGCAAAGAGCACTTAGACCAGTTCATCGTGGTGGAGGCGAATTCACCCTACATATATCTGTCTCACCCTGTGACTGCGTATATTTTTCTCTTGTGCGAAAACGATAAGCAACGGGGTTGCCATCACATCGATCTGGATAACCCAACTGTAAGGCGCATGAACATACCTTGGAAGTCACGAGCTGGCGTCGTGGACTTGTGCGGCGACGTCGATAGATCGGTTTCTTTACCTCTTTATATTACCAAAGAGCATCGTTGAAGTGACGTTTCTTGGTGCTGTCCGGGGACCAGCACGTTGACCAGTTAGACAGTCGTACAGCGTAGTTGTTACTTCGTATTTTAAAGCTCGAGAGACTGACAACTCTGTAAGTGGAATTAACGTTAATATCACGTTAGCTTGAAGTGACAAGAGATTACTGCAGGCGAGGCAGACGGTCTAGTGCATTCGTGCGAGGGAACTGGGTTCGAAGCCTCTCGCTTATTAAATTCTCTTGGAAGCTCGGAATTCCTGTTATTGTCAAATCGGTGTACAAGTGATCTCACGCTGGAATGCAACGTGTGTGGATAGTTATACACCTTTTCAAACAACCTGTCCCTTGATCGATCGTAAAGAAAACGAATTCTTTGGTGCTATGCTTGCGTCTCCGAAGCCATCCAGGTCATAGTAGAGCCGACATAGGTGGAATGGATCAGCTTGAGAGACTTCCTGCTTTTTCTTTCTTTTCCTGTACGGCACATTGATGTCATTTAGCGAACTAACGATATAGATATACTTCCTGCTTGCGTAAGACCATTCCACATTGGTTGTAACTTAAGAATGGAGTTGCTTCATTCGTCTACACGAGTTTCACTCCATGTCGTCGATTCTTTGTAGAGAACGTCTACGGACCGTAAATTACGGTAATGAGATCTGGCAAAAGTCACAACATAGTTTCATTCACTAAGACAACGTGGATGATTCGACATTCTACGACTTTGTACAGGTTCCGGAGCAGGCCACAGTACCTAAACGTGCGTGAAGTGACGAGCATTCTCGAATGATCCACACGTCAGGAGAAAATAATGAAACCGGAGATCCTAATTACGTACTTCTTGCTATCAATAAGCCCGACGGTTGTTGCTAGCAATGCTTAAAGTAAAGAGAAAGCAAAGAATCCAGACTACTGCATTTTCAGTTCCAAGGTGATCGGCGTAAAGCCGTTGAACTCGTGTTCATTAAAGCTGTCGACCTCAGAGCCTGAGGCCCAAGCCAATGCATTGTTAGCACAACCTTCACCCTCCGTATCGGGAAAAATGTAAATCCTAGTGACAGATTCAGAGGTAGTTTCAACCAAGTCCTCATCCCATCCCGAATTTTACGCGTATTTACAGCTCGTGACAGGCTTGGGATGATGATTTAAGTGGTCAATATCTGATGGCGAGTTAGATTTTTTTTTTTACACTGGAAATAGCGAGCTGGATGCTACCGAGCCGTTGGCTACTTGGCTAGTCGATGCATGGGATGCTGACGAATGTCACCCACTCTCAGCTCTCATAACCACATTTCAAATCGACGATAGCTGCGAGATGCCGTCGCTGTTGGGCTTGCGGCTCGGTCGATTTGACCCTACGGCGTCCAAGCCATCGATAGGCTGGTGCAACGACGTTCCGTACGATGACAGCGACGCAGAAGCCGAGTGGGAAGAGTACATTCGACGTCAACGCAGCATCGAGAGCAACCAGTTCGACAACGAGAGCGTTGCCAGCTTAAACACCGAAGAAGCAAGCGAAGAAGCCATCGAGAACGAGATTGAAAAATCCACGCATGAAGTGTTTTGCCAAAGTTTCGACTCGGATTCATTTCGTTATCAAGTTGAAACACCTGCTTCCCGTTTCCTGACTTTGCCAGTTCGCGTGAATTCGTCTGTAGATTCCGCGAGTGAGAAAAGTGAAGCAGACGAAGATGAAAAATCGGATAATAACGCAGAGGATTTAGAAATGGACGCCATTGCTGACAAATACGTGACGTCGGATCAACTCGAAGACGTGGACGACGAGTTTGATGACGAGGTCTTTGCTTTGACGCCAGAAACGTGTCCAAGTCCGCCAGTATCTCCACGTCCAGTGCCGCCAAAAATCCCGTTGCGGATATTTGTTGCAACGTGGAACATGGCTGCAAAAGACCCATTTGCACATCGTAGGCGGGGTCAGTACATTGGCGATGATCTAGCAGCAGAAGCTTTGCAGGAGCTCTTGCCTTTGGGATACGATATTTACGCTATTGGGACACAGGAAAAAGTCACGAAACATTTGCATGCGGCTGTGCTTGCACGACTCAACCAGCAGATCGTAGTTAGCATGGAGAATACAAGCACCGACCGAAAGTATCAACGTCTGGAATTGACAGCAAAACGGAGATGGCTGCATAGTCGAAGACGAAGACGTCGTGAAGACGAGTGTCAGCACTGGAGAGCGTATCAATCGTCGGATTTTGGTAACGTTAGTTCGGTAGGCTTGACGAGTTTCTGCGGCAGTGAATTGCCTTGTAACATGTGCAGTCCGCACGCCAACAGTGCGTACAGTATCAACAGTCCCTATGCGAGTTTTTGTTGCGATGACGTGCCGTCTCGTAAGTCATCTGCGGATACTGTTTACTGCACTCCAAGGTGTTCGTGGTGGAATAAAGAGACGGGGGAGAAAGAGATCCGAGGCCGTGGAGACCACGCGTTTATCCGTCGAAAATCTACTGGTCTATCCGTGTACTACGCTAGTCATCTTCAGGACCAAATTGAGGTCGTGGCAGCAGGTTTACACAAGTTTACGGGCTCGAAAGGAGGCATTGCCGTCACAATTCGCATCGCTGGTGACGCTCAGACCCTCACGTTTGTCAATTGTCACCTAGAAGCGCATAAAATCGAGCGGAGAAGACGACAACTGGACAAACTTGCGCGTGCTCTCCCTCGGTCTCTAGGTTTCAATACCACGCTTGCTAATTGCAGCGACCATGTGATCTGGATGGGAGACTTTAACTACCGGATTCAGATCCTCGATGGCGACGAAGTCCTTCGTTTATTGAGTGCTGGTCGGTTGCAAGAACTACACGACCATTACGACAGTATGACCGAAGACTTGAAGCACGTACAGGGACTGCAATCGTTCCGTGAACCAGTCAAGTGGCCTACGTTCTACCCGACGTATAAGAAGGTAGTGTGTCGATCGCGACTGCCGTTGAGTGGCTCTACCACCGGAACGGGAAGAGATACACGATGGGCTCAGCACGTGTACCAGACTACCTACCGTGAGCCGTTCTACAAAGGAGGAAGAGTCCGAAAGCGTGTTCCAGGCTGGTGTGACCGCATCCTGTACTGCTCTCGAGCGGAGACTCCGTGGGAGACTTGTCTGAAGGTAGAACAAGCTGCGTGTCCGGACTCGAGTCGAGGCCGAAGTAGTTTTGGCTCCGAGGCCGTGCGAGACAACTACAGGGCGTTGAACGATGAACTGCGCGGCAGCGACCACAGCCCTGTGTCCTGCACCTTCCTCTGGTCGGTGCAGCGCTAGAAACTCATCGCTAGAGCGATACAACTATCTAGGAAGGCTACCTGATGACTCAAAACAACGCATTGAGGATGTTGAAGTGAAATGGCTACATTTCTGAACTTGTAAGAGTCAGACGTCCTTCGATTAGAGCCGCAGTCCACATAGAGGAAAGAAATGATGAAATGGCCAACTCTACAAGTAGTAGTACAATTTTTATGTTTTCCCTACAGAAGATGGCCAAGATTATAGGACGATATCAAACCATCAGCTGGTGCTTATTTGTAAGTGGTGCTGAGAAAGTTTTACTGACATCGGCTGCCATGAAGTATGTGGGTATATGGTCGTTGGACTCTACAAAATCTACTAGTCCTGCCCCGAACCACACGACCCCAAGGGATACTTTCGATCTTCATAATGGCAGATATGCTACTTTAGCTA